ACAGAGGGAGGGAGGGAGGGAGGAAGAAAGAGGCTTTTCTAAAGACAGTGAGCTGAGACGACAAATGAGATGGGGCCAGACATGAAAGAGAAACCGGCAATGCTGCACAGGGCGGCTGGTGGTTTCGAATCGCTGAGAGGAGGAAAGTGATCAAGGGGAGAGGTGGCAGGAGTTGGGGGGTAAGTCACATAGGGGCTAGGGGCTATGGACAGGCATTTGAGCTTATTTAGATTGTTACATGGGAAGAAGGATTCCACCAGTAAGGAGAAAACGAGAGGTCTAGGCAAGATATGGGAGTTGACAGCTTGGTCTAGGCTGTTAGTGGAGAAGCTGGGAAGCAACAGGTGGGTCGAAAGTAGCTTTACTTCCTTTTCTTTTCTTGTCTTGTCTTTGTCATTTCTTTTCCTTTTTTTAAGACAGGGTTTCGCTCTGTAGCCCAGGCTGGAGTGCAGTGGCATGATCTTGACTCACTGCAACCTCTGCCTCCTGGGTTCAAGTGATTCTGCTGCCTCAGCCTCCCAAGTAGCTGGGATTACAGGGATATGCCATCACGCCTGGCTAATTGTTTTATATTTTTAGTAGAGCAGTGTTTCTCCATGTTGACCAGGCGAAAAGTAGCTTTATTTCTGCCTCGTTTTGTGTTCAGGTCCCCCATTAGACAGAGGAACCAAGACCAGAATGGGGCAGGGACACTGGCCAATTGATCTCCCAAGCACAGTGAATCTGAATGGTTGTAGAGTTGTGTAATGGATCCCACTGAGGTGATCAGGGCCCAAAGTGGAGGGTGGATGGCCAGGTTTTAACAAAAGAGGGGATAGTAGTTGAGGCTGGGGGTCCAGGACCAGACCCATGGTTTTCGGTATGGTAGAGTCAAGACTGGGCAGCTGGGGGCTGCAGTCTGGGAGCAGAGGAGCAGGAACTTCAGATGAGGAGGAAGAGGAAGAAGAGGAGGAGGAGGAGGGTTCATCTCTCTAGACACAGGTTTGCACCACAAATCTCATCCACTGGGTTCTCAGCAGGCTCTGGGCTGGGTGTGCCCCCACACTCGGAACTCACCAACCCAGCCAGCAACCTGGCAACGGTGGCAGTCCTGCCCGTGTGTGCTGAGGTCCCCATGGTGGCCTTCACGCTGGAGCTGCAGCATGCCCTGCAGGCCATTGGTCAGTGGGGTGAGGGTCATGGGTGGGGGCTGGCCGTGGGTGGGACATTAGTGAGTGAAAGATGTTCGGGTAGGTCATTTGGGGGGTGGAGGGGAACAGGGCCACGGGGGTGGGGTAATGGATATTCTTTTCTGAGTGAGGCCCCAGCCCTGTGGACCATGGTTCCCAGCCTCCCTTCCCCACCTACCCCTAGGTCCGACGCTACTCCTTAACAGTGACATCATCCGGGCACGCCTGGGGGCCTCCGCACTGGATAGGTGTGTGTTGC